TTTTAGCATATTTTAGTACTGATATGTTTTTGTAAAATGTTTATGTAAAATGACATTGTAAGGGACAATGAAATAAAAATAGACTCAATGAAAATTCAGAAGATAGCCCAATTATTGTTGCATGAGGCAATTTACCTTTTCCATGGGTTACATCAACAGTCCATGTACAATTCAGAGAATTTGGATAAAATTCTGGGTAACCAGGTGATAAGATTGTTCCACTAGGCCCTCTAACGTCTCCTCCACATAATGCTGAAAATACAAAGAAATACAGTCACATGATCAGTCACAGTTAGAGAGGCAGAGGCTGAACAAAAGCTCTTATCTCCACTCCTGAAACAGAATGAATCCTATTATCTTTGCCTAAGCTACTTCCTGCTAAAAACAGATGTGTGTAAATATCTCTTCCAATACTAGGAAATCATATCATCCATTGAAGCACTAGAGAAGAAAAAGATATTTAATAACATCTGAGAATTAGTACTGGCTCCAAGAGAACATAGCTCAACTTTCTGCGTTTGAATTTAAAGTACGTACTTACACATTTCTAATTATAAGCAGCATTTGCATAAATTGGTGGTAAATTAAACATGAGTAATTAATTGTTTTGCAGTCCCTCTTATCAAGCACTAAGAAAAACAAATTGTTAATTATGTTAAATTGTTTCTTATAGATTCCTAAAGGGATATGTGTCATTCTTTATAGTATTCCTTTTAAAATAGTGAAGTAAGTTGTGAAAGATTTGAAGGCCTCTTCTGTACTTCTCCATTTCTCTGGTAAATATCATGAACAAAAAGGAATTTTGAGGGGATACAGAGTTATAAGTAAACATCCCAAGATAATAAAAATAAATGTTTATAGTCTGAAGTAAAAAATTAAAATTTGATTCAATATTCATTTCTTTGAGAAGAAATCATAGCTTACGATGTGGTCTACCATATTTAATAATTGTCAGTGCTTATGGTATGTGAGACAATTTTATCAATAATAAAATTAGAGAAGACAAACGTGGCCTAGTAAGAATTTTTGTTCTAGTGGAAGCATAGGATTTCTATTCCACTTGGAAAGGTCATCTCTCTGGGACATAGGCAAGGGCAGTAAGAATCACGAAAGCATTGTCTACTT